GTTTCAGTAAATAATATCTACATTATCTCCAGCCTTGTTTCCTTACTTTTTTACAATCTCTGTTTGCAGGTCTTTAATTTCCCAATTTTTTATTTATCTTGTTTTGTAAATTAGGACTGAAAGTTTTCCTGATATTCCAGCTCCTGCCCAGTATTTTGAACTGTGATTGATTAATTTTATAAGACAATATTTAAATATGTGACAGTTGTACATTTTATTCACTCTATATATATATATATATTACATATACACACAGAATAATGGGGAAACACAAATTACTATATTATTATTATTCTATAAATAAAGTATATTCTAATATGCAAGATAAAAAAATCAAATGATACAGCAATTTTCAAAACAAATTCAATGCTACTATTGGCTTATAAGTACAGGATGATGTAAATGATATGCACCATCAAGATTTTTCTAAGTCACAACCCTAACAACTGTTCAGAATATGCACTATTGGATTGATACAAGATAATAACAGGATCATTTCCACATCATTTATGAAGGTAAATAACAACCTAACCAATTATTGTAACAAAAGAAAAAAAGTTAGTGAAAAACAAAAATGATTTTATATAAAAATTGTAAGGGTGGGACTTAGAAATAACATGGTTCTTTCCAACGTTTACATCACTGTGTAGAGATAATAACACTATTTTATACCTCCTATATTATACAAGCTAACCTGAAGCATTAGTTTAACTTATTTTATTCTGTGGGTCTTAATTAAAAACATACCATAAAATATGAAGTTGACTTACAGTTTAATGCAGATAGATAAAGAAAAAAAATGGATGTGTTTAGGTGAACACTTTAATGCCGTGGAAGAGCAGAAGGAAAATATTTAAATGGTTGAATAATTACTTACAACACAGCCACAACAAGCTCATTATGTCATATTTCATGACTAAATTGAACAATATGTCAAATGTCTGCATCTTTTAAAATGAAAATATTAATGATAATTATATTGTCAACTGGTTTATTTAATATCTTAAAGCAAATTATTTTATAAATTAAATTTAATGTACCTGCTGTTTATGTGCTACTGCATCAATAGGTTTCTTGCTGGCAACTTTTTTCTCAGCCTTGGCTTGTTTTTTTCTTTCTGATGCTTGATATTGCCTTTCTGCTTCTTTTTCTTCTATCTGAATCAAAACAGACAATTGAGTTCAATGTTTGTTTCGATTTGTACAATGCCACTTTAGACTGCTATGTTTGCCTGTCATCCTTTACACAATAAAGTCACTCACTTTAAAACAAACCAATAATACTAATGGGTAGGCAAATAACAACTTATAAGCATAAGGAGAAATTTTATTGATGGCGGAATAAAACAATTGGTGTGTCTGATGAAGATAGAAGAATATTCTGTTGAAATATGTTGTATGTTCCACCATTAATAAAATTCTTCCTTATTCTTATAAATCCTTGTTTGCCTTCCTATTATTATATTAGTGTAATGTACTTCTTTACCAAAGAACTTACAACAGTGTTTTCATGCACTTTTGTATCCTTAAATCTACAGTATATGGTTGATAAAACCATAGCTATATGTGTTAAACAATATACATTCAAGCAAATGATAAAGTATAAGAACATACTGTTGAGAAACAAAAAATGGTGTGCCAAATATTTTTAAGCCAATTAAAGATTTGCAACCAAATTCTTACAAATCCATAAATGTTCTTTACCCTCAGATTTATTCATTATAATAGTATTAGTTAAAAATCACAACATTAGATTCAGTTATATACATGATAAACTATAACAGATGTATTTCTCAATGTGTATGTATGTTCTTCTCTTATTGGTGGATCCAACTTACTCCTACACAGTAAGAACATGAAAACTTGTTTACCACAAAAGATTGCTTAGTCTTGATCATAACATATTTAACTTATTTACCCAGGCATCATTTACTGCACATGTCACAAGGTTTTAGTGACTTACATTCAAAATTTTATTAAACTAATAGTTTATGTTATACCAATTAGTATAGTATAAAAATAAGCCACATTTTAATAGTATACACGTTTTAAGTTTTTAATTTTATAAGACAATATTTAAAAAAAATCCTGAATTTCCCCTAGTGTGAGAAAGGTGACATATTTTCTCTAGGCATCCCTTCTTTATTCACCATCCCTCCAGTAAGTACAAAATTTAATGCAAATTACTCATTATGAAATCATCATTGCTCAAATAAACCATAATTTTTATATCCTTCAATTTTGTTTGGTTACAGAGCTATTAAATAGAAAATCAAACCCCTCTTGCAGGATTTGTTAATAGTTCTCTCTTACATTTAACTCTATATTATGTATAACTAATAGTAAGCCAAAGTTTTCATATATCAAATGACATATTATATTACATGGTTTTCTGAATGGAGAATTGTCAAGGGAAAGATATGGACTAGCTTGGATGAATTTGTAATAGCTCTTGTCGCATAGCTAGAAAGCTAGAACAATTGAGATAGTTAAAGGAAATTGTCTGCTTTTCACGTGTTATTATACCATGTTCCTTAGTGCATTATTTAATTAGATACAAGTTATTTAGAAAATACTACTGTTAGTATAAAAAAAAAAGTAAGGTTAAGTGTCATTGGCAGTCAACAGCAAAAAAAAAAAAAGATTACACGGGTAAGTACTTTATTTCTTGTTTTTCTATGTTTATT